TCTTTAACATGAATTAAAACCATAAAATAAACATAATTCCACATATTGTGAACTTTACGTATATGATCTTCAAATGTTACATGTTTATTATCAAATGATTTACGATCAAGTCCTGAAAAAAAAAACAAAATTCTCTTTGTTTTCTTTTATCGTCATTAAATTTTTTTTTTCTTTACCACAAATAAAACATGTATTACGAAGTATTTCATCATTTCTTTGTTTTTCTGTACGTAAATCAGCAAAATTATCAATAATAACACCAAAAATTAAATTTAAAGTTATAATTATAACAATAAAGAAGAACATCATATCATATATAACACGAAAGAAATACAATGGTTCCTAAACAAAAAATAAAATTCATACTTCAAAAATCTTGTTTGTTTTTAATCACTTCTTGAGAATAGAATTATTATTAGAGTATATTCTTCATCATTCTGAATCTTCTTAGGAAGATGAATACCTTCTGCCTTTCAACTACCTTACGGGTTGGGATGTGCAGCTTAGCAACAGATTTAATAGCCATATACCTTTCCTACAACATATACTAGCCGTAGTTCTGGATAGAAAGTCGACCTGACACAGAGTTCTTGCACTCAATTGTTTGGGTTTCCTCCACCACATACGGTGACTGGACAAATCATCACATGGACAAAATGTTGCAACATTTCGTTATGCTAGATATTTCTATATCTGAAGTCGACTTCATAAAGTATGATGCAAGGGTATGGGTACAGGATGCCGACGCGGGGTTGTAAGGTACCAGTGTGGGCGCGTGGATGAGTTTCCGTATGTACCTTTAGATGTGGGTTGTGTATAGTGCAGACAGTTATAACCACCCTAACTCATAGAAGATTCCCCCGCTGTCCTCAAATTACACCCAAAGCTGCGTCTAAATCCACAATAACACTCAAGCTCCACAATCGCATTCTAAACTCGGAGCCCACACATGCACTCTAAAACTCCCACTCTTAGACCATACTTTAAGAAGTCGACTTCAGATATAGAAATATCTGACATAATGAAATGTTGCAACGATTTGTCGACGATCATCTGTCCTAGCATTCATACAAGTGCAGTATCTTCGTAGCAATAAGCTAAGGATGCGAACTCTTTTCCGAATATGAATAGCTTATTTGAATATACACGGTCTCGACTCAAAATTGATTGAACACTTGAAGGGCTTCCCTCATAAGCTGTCGAGTTTTTAATATGTCTATCTTGTAGAGGCTCCAAATTTTCGAAAATTTGGAGCCTCTACAAAATAGACATATTAAA